TAGGGGTTTAGGGTTGAGGGTTTTGATGAGGTTTCAAGCGGGGCCTGCAAGGGATTTGCCAGGGGTTCATTTAAAAAACTCTGTTCTGCCGCGAAGGCTCTAAGCAGACACTGCTCTTTGAATTCAGTATCCAGGCTGCAGAATCCACAGAAATTACACATTCAAGAATCCGTTCTTGTAGGTCTCCAGCAACCCTTTGTTTGAAATTTGGGTAAGTGGATCTCTAGGGTCCGATAAAGCCCCGTGGTGTTTGTTCAAGGCTGTGTCGTCCTCGACAAAGCCCTCCAACTCAAAGTCTTCCATTCGTTGCTGCAGGAAGGGTGGCCAATGGCAGAGGGCACTGCTTCTGCTGATGTCTATGCCAGATCAGAACTTGTCACCTGTCTGAATATCAGAACCAACGCCCAAACCCTGCAAATCCTACACCCTGTAAGACAGGTTAGATGACCTGCAGAACGGACATATGGCTCGCGCCTACTTACCATGAATGCTCCTGTAGACGCTGCAAGAAATCGAGGTTTGAATCCTTAGTCGGTAACCATATCTCTTTACAGCACCTATACTGAGAAAATTTGAGCATACACATGTAATGTGTGTGTTTATACATACACGCACACACACACACACACACACACACACACGTTATACTACACACACTTTTAAAGGCCCCCCCAGATGCACCTATGTTACCACGGCTTTTTGGTTCTCTGACGTCTAAATCTTACCTGCTTGAGATGGTTGTTTCGGTGTCGCATGGTCCACTCGGGAAAGGACAACCCAGGCTTCATGGCCCCGAACACAGCAAGTGCGCAAAGTTTGGGGCCTTTTTTGGTCTAGGACCCGTGGTGCACACTGTTCTTCAATATCCGGGCGCAGCCCCTAGAATCAGGTTGCAGATGCGCTATCGTGCTGGCTTGAACTACGGGGCATGTAAGGGCTTATAAGACCTGGGCATGCAGCCGGGCACGACTGAGGCGACCCGATGCCATCTGCTTCAATGCTGCAATCAGTGCCTGCGAGCCATTTCTGCACAGTCGTTTTTCCAGCACATAAACCTTGAGCCACAAATACTAAGCCGAAGTCCAGATCGCATGCCTCCAGCTAAGGCGGAGAGGCAGTGTTTTGAAGGCTCAGGGAAGCCCACACGTCCAAAGCTCAACGTAAGAAATGACATGAGAAAGAGCAGAGAGACCTTTAGTTGAGAATTCAGTGCAGTTAGCTGTTTTTAATTCAGTCGGCAGGTATATTGACATGTGCATGCTACGTCTGGACTTTCTCCGATCGGACCGTCCCATCGCATCCTTTCATTCCTACATTAAAACAGCGATAGCCCTGAGTCCGATCCTCCTGACGCGAAGGAAAAGTGCGGGCAGTGGCAGCAAGCCATGTTGCTTCTACATTCACTGGAGGACGCAGAACTCCAGCCCACAGGCCTGGCTTTGGATTCAGGGATTTAGGTTTTAGAGGGCTGTTTTTGGGCTTATACAGGGCTTATAAAGAAGAGGCCCAATGCCACCCTTTTGCCAGTCCGAGAAACATAGGCCAGCTCTCTCCTCAACGGCTGGTTACCCTAAACCCTAAACAGGGTTTGTCCCAAAGACATCACCGGAGGGCGCAGCTCCCGTACACGATAAGCTCCACACTGTAAGCCCCAAAAACCTAAACCTCCGCACCCAGCAAAAGAAGCAAAAAGGAGTTCAGGCAGGCTCTAGAGTCTCGGGGGACATGATGCTTCGCAGTGTAGAACAACAGACTCCACCTGGAAGCTTCGGTAGTCAGGCATGCCATGATAGTTGATTGGGCATTGGGTTTAGGGTTTAGTGGGCTGTGTAATGGCTTCGGGTCGGAATGACTTCACGAGATTTGCCTGATTGCCCGAGAAGTAGCATCCCATGCTCTGAAAGCTAATCCACGCCTTGATGCAGTCAACACGTTCAATGCGGCGATTGGCGCTTGTGCTCGTTCCGGCGAGTGGCAGCAGCTTGCTTCCAAGTCAGAAGAGCCTGCTGCGCTGCCTTTTGAAGAGAGTCCCACGGTTAGATCGGTATCTTATCGGAAGACGGAACCCACAGGCTGACATTACGTGCGAGTTAAATATACAGCTTTGCAGTACATGTTTGTGCCCTCGGTAAATAACTATAGGGCAAATGCAAATTTACATGCATGATTTATGTGCATACGTGGCCTGTGAATGTGCTCGTGTGGCCGTGTAGACTAGAGCACAACAGCACGGTCAGAGTGCATTGAAGTATCTCTTTGGCCCCGGCAGTCAGATCAGAAATGGATGAATCCTTTTGGCTGACGGAGACTTCGTGGTTGAGTGCCCTGAAGCCCATGGGTTCTGATGCCTTTATAGACTCTGAGAACAACTTGAAATTTCCCTGGCTCGAAACTAAAGACTGCAAAAGCCTAAGCCCTAAACCCAAAACCCTAAACCCTAAACCCTAAGCTGTGCATACCCTCAACCCTCCCGAAACCTCAATCGCTCCTTTGAGGCTCAAGCGAGTTAATAGGTTACAAGCAAGATAGCTATGCTTAATGCTTAATCCGGTTTAGGGTTTAGGGTTTAGGGTATAATCAGTCTTGCCACCGTTTCTAGTCATGGAAACCTACCTATGAGCCTTTGAGCAAAAGGGGCTTCCCGCATCCTCTGATCCCTAAACCCCAGCCCCAGACCCCGTAAACTCTAGACCCCGTAACCCTTGTACGCACCGTAGACCCTTAAATAGCCCTTAACTTCAAAACCCTCTAAACCCCACTGTCAAACACTATCATGTCGGGGCCTAAATAATTACCAAGACTTTTGGGGGGTTCCTTATTATAATTATTGTATAATATACTCCCCCCCCCCCCAACCCTATTCTAATTATCTAATTATTAAGGCCCCTACATTAAGCCCCTATTCAACCGTCTGAATGCAAGGAGGTCCTTGGCGCTTCTTCTGGAGATCGAGGAGCCGGGTTCCAAAAACCATCGGGCAGACTCCGAAACAATGCTCATACGTGCGCCGTGGGGCTTAGGGTTCAGGATTGTTTTATTGGGCTTAGGGTTCATATTCATATGGTTGGACTAGTTCCTTCAGGTTTCTGGATCCGGTCTTGGCTAGAATTGGGACATTTTCGGTCAACGAGCTAGACGACGTGCTGACGCCATCTCACTGCCAGCTGGCATGCTCCAGTAAGGCCCGAGTTCACAGGTCATTGGCCATCCAGGAGTGGTTTGCCGATGTAGTTTCTAATGTCTGTGTGTCTGTGTGTGTGTGTGCGTCTGAGGGTTTTGGGTTTGGGATTTAGGGTTTAGGGAGAGTTGCGAAACCTAGTGGCTCGCTCTTGTAATAAAGTCTCAGGGCTTTTGAAACTGAGGATCCGAAGGTTTGAGGTTGAGTATACGGATGCGTTATGTTCTGAAACTCTCAGACATAAAACCCAAAGTTTGAATTATTTGTTAGGGTATTAGCACATATTTTTTGAGGCCTTGTGCAACTTTGAAACTATCACAATGTACACTGCCACCCGCTCGTCCCCCCAAATGTATGTACGTTCAACAAGATATTGTTAGCAATTGCAGACCGCCGGACAGCACCCTAAACTAGAACTAGGCTATGCCCTAGTATACTGGACGACTATGATACTATGCTACACTGTATACATATATATATATATATATAATATGCACACACACGCACACACACACACACACACTCACTCGACTAGACTGCACTAGACCAGGCCTATGCTCTACCATACTATACTACACCTTTCGCCCGGTTGGCTATGCAGGTCTCAAGCTATTCGGCATCAACCGCTGCCACCCTAAACCCTAAACCCTAAACCAACCCCAGGCCTTGATAATGTCATCTTCTTGCCGCACGAAGGCTGCAGAAGCCCTGCCTAATCGCAGGGAGCTCCAAGATCCGATGGGGCGTGATCTCAGATCTGTGACAGAGGAGTTCGGCCCCCCGAAACTCTGATTCCAACACTTTCAAGCCTACGCCCAAAGTCCTCAACAGTACGGTAGCCCTACACCCTAAACCAAAAACCCTAAACCCCTAAACCCTAAACCCTTGGAGCCCTATAGCTACGGCGAGGAGAGCGGGAGACGTCCGACGGCTTACAGCTTCGGCTCAGCCATCGCCAGCTGCGACAGCACCCCTGCTCCACAATTCTCGGAACGGGGCTATGAGGGTTTAGGGTTTAGGGTTTGGGGTTTGGGGTTTAGGGTTTAGGGGTTTAGGGTTTAGGGATGGGTCTATGAGGGTTCTTACCCTAAGCTTCGAAGTAAAGAGAACCTATGTTGGAGTCTGAAACCCTAAACCCTAAACCCTAATTCAGAGGCAGTCATCAGTCAGTCCTTACTCTGCATAGCTGAGTCGTAGTTTCAACATGCTTCAGCTCTTTTTTTCTTCAACTTCGGAGAGCTCAGCGCAAAACATTGCCTACTTCTGTGCTTTAGCTATGCACAAGCCGGGAGCTCCCGGTACAGTATTGCAGGATGTATTGCTGTTGTTCTATTTCGGCCCTGAACCTTTAATTAACCCTAAACCCTGAAGTTGCTGTCCATTGTTTGTATGACTGCTTTGTTTGGGTCTTAGTCCTTGCTGCTTGGTCCCAGGCTCATCACGATATCGGAGGTGACTGATCCAGGGTTCTCTTGCAGGTATCTATGGTGATAGCCCTTTCAGCAAATTACCGCTTATCATCGGCTCTGCGGGGATGCTTTTCGTTTATGCATCAAAGATCGCATTTCTAGAGCTTTGCGATCCCGGTATCTTCGTCGGAGAGTTGGTGGAACCCGCCGGTTGAAAGCTTTTTTCCCTTATCCCAAAGCCGTGGAAGATATATGCGACTCTAAGGACAGCAGGCGGGGTTGGGGCTCCCGACGTAGGAAAACCCTTCACCTTAATACGAAGAGAATAGGGCCCTGTGGCTAGTAAGGTTGATGATGGCCACCCCAAACATAGGGACCGCCTCAAGAAGGGAGTTCTTAATGAGGGGGTAGCTACAGTCTCCATTGCAGTTCCGCGGTTAACCAGCTGTATGCTTCTGGTAATAAAGTTGGCTATCCAAAAACAGGAACACTTTATGCTATCGGATCCTATGCATAGAATTGTCATCCAAAAACAGGCCTACGAACTACAATGAAGACTTTAGACCTACACCCTAAACCCTAAACCCTATACCCTTCCTTACAGACGAAATGACCCCTAAACGTAGGGGCCCTATACCCTTATACTATGAATCCCTATATGGTATATGAACCTTAAACCCTTTTAGGGTTCACTTCGTCCTTAAGGTTAAACCCTAAACCCAAATACCTGTCCTAGATTACAATTCCAAGAGGGCTGAGTGTAGCCCAAAGACCTTCTAGTGGGATCCGGCAATTTCCAGCTTGAGCTTGGGCATTTTGGCCCAGAAATCCCAAACCCTAAGCCCCAAACCCGAAACCCCAAACCCCAAATCCTGAACCCTGCACCCTAAACCCCGAACCCCAAAACCCTAAAGCCCGAACTCTAGACTCTAAGCCACAAACCCCTACTAAAACCTAAACCCTGTACCCTAAGCCCCAACCCCGGCCTCATTTCTCGGTGTTTGACGACGTGTAAATGGGTAGTTCCTTAAATTAGGTTCTTTTCAGGTCCCCCAAATAGTACGGCACCCTTGTGAAAAAGGACCCTAAACGGGACCCTATTTACTCCTAGCTTGGAGAACCACCCAAATCCTGATGAGTAGCCTGCTTCTGAATAACCCTTGTTTCCGCTACCATCACCATCATGATGTTACAACTTTGCTGTGAGTGTTGCCGGGCATCTTTAGTCAGACTGTCACTATGCCTTTTCACTGTCTGTGAACACTGAGGTGTTCTCGTCGATGCCGGTCGATGGCGGACGGCGTTGGAACTGCTGGTGCGCTCGGTTTCTTTTTGGTTCAGGGTTGAGTCTTTCGCTCGGCAGACTTTAATGCCATTAAAGCCTAAAGCAGGAACTCTAAATGGGTGGTTGTCAAAATTATGGTCCCCTTTTGGGTCCTTATTATAATACGGCACCTATTATTTAGGGTACCCCAAAAGGGACCCTAATTTTGACAACCACCCAAATCTTAACCCACCCCCCTTCAAAAGCAATGCTTTAATCTGGCCACAAGCATACCCTAAACCCTAAACCCTAAACCTCCAACGCTATAGCCCGAAACTTACAGGAATCTGCGAACACCGCAACATTCACCATGAACGGACCAGCCTTGATCGTTTGAAGAGCTGATGGCTGAGAATGTTGAGTTTTCCTTAAAAGTTCTTTAGGGTCTCCTAAACCCTATAAACCCTGAACCCTTAAACCCCTAAACCCCTAAACCGTAAACCCCTAAACCGTAAACCCCTAAACCCTAAACCCAAAACCCTAAGCTCTTTGACCTCCACGTTCTCTATGCTTTGCCCAA